TGAGATCACTGCCAAAGGAGATGACCCTCTGATTCAGCAATTGGCTGTTGTCCGGAGACGGAGACATTCAGGAGGTGTTACAGCAATGAAAGGTATATTTCTGTCAATAGAAGTCTAATAAGGCAGAGATTCCTTGAAGAGATTCCTATGGGATGAGAATATGATCAGGAACATATTAGAATGTGCAGAAATGAATAGGTTAAAACTTGCAATTAAAGAGAAGGAGCAAACAGAATATTATCGTATATGGGAATTATTCTACCGACGGTTAGAGAACAAATATGAAAGTTAAATATGTAAGTAGATTAGTAAAATATAGAAAATATAATAATAGAAGTAAATAATTTAAGAAGAGGGTTGTTATAGTATCAGATGGGTTATATATATATCAGTATTAAGTCATGAGCAGATAAATAATATGGTTGTAAATTTTAAATGTTATTACACAAGATATTTGTACACTGTTTAATGGAAGATGGACGCACAGAACACTGTTACTTTCCCACTTCCTCCTCCAGTCATGCTGGCTCAGAAACTCTGGCATTGAAGCATGCAAGTCAGTGGTGGGTTTCAAAATTTTTTTGAACCTCTTCTGTAGGTGTGGCCTGCTTTCGGGTCCACTGGTGGAACCTCTTCTAACCGGTTCGGTAGATTTGACGAACCGGTTCTACCGAATAGGTGCGAACTGGTAGGAACCCACGTCTGCCCCAAAACTTGGGTGTGCCTCAGTGGTACTAGTAAAGTGTAATTTTTAAGGTAGACTTACAAACATCATAAACCCATCTACATATTAAGGAACCAGGTTTATGGAAATGTATGGTCCAAAAAGAAATGTACAAAACGTCTATATTTGTTTTACCATGTTGCCATAGTGAAAAGGTAGGAATTGCTATATGTGACATTTGGACTCAGTAGCTCATAGTTCAGAAAAATAGGATGCCCCATCAAGTTCAGGATCAGTGGTCCAACCTTGTTTTCTTTAGGATAAGAAGACAATTTTTTTCATGTATCAGTGACATTTCATAGTTTTTAGTAGAGTATAGCCTTTATTGTCATTGTACATCATTTATATAACAAAATTGGTTTTAGGCTCACTGGTGCAATCCATGAGAAAAAGTACAAACAACATAAATAGTATAAAGAATAATCCCTATGCAAGTAATTGGGGGTTGGGGAGGAAAGAAAAAGAAAAACAGTTCTAGCTCTGTCAGGTTCCTTGATCCTGTCAAGCAGCCTTCCCTAATCTGAGGCTGTGAAATTATGTTGGACTTCAATGGCCACAACATCCCTGGGATGGACAAGAATTAGCTTTAATCAGGGGTGGGGAACTATGGCGTTTTTATGAGCATGGCTGGCTCAGGAATTCTGGGAGTTGAAGTCCATAAATCATAAAACATATTTCCTCACCTCTGCCTTAAATATTTATACAGAACAGCAGGTGAATAAGGACTGCTGTGGGAAGTCCTGTTTATGTTCAAATGAAATCCTGTTTCAGCTAAAAGTGAAAACATGGATATGTAGGAGACAGGCCCAGTATCTATCACTGTCCCCTTGCATAGTTTGAGCCTACCTGCATTTCAAAAGCATCCTTAATCTTCAGAATAAACATTAATAGAATATTGCATTGGATGTATTGGGAACTCATCAAATGTGCAGATGACACTAAACTAGCAGGAATAGCCAACACCCTAGAAGATAGGTTCAAGATCCAGAAGGATCTTGACAGATTTGAACACTGTGTCTTATCTGTGTCTTACCTGAGAGACCGCCTCCTGCCGATTATCTCCCANCCTCCTGCAGAGGGCACTTTTTAAAGAGGCTTTTTTAAACAGTTAAGCACTAAGCAGAGTCATCCACTATGACTCTGGCAGCAACTACCTCAGCCTTTTTTCCTTTTACATTTCCTTTTCTTTTCATGATGACAGTGGTGAGGCTCTGCCTCCCCTGACTGCACGTCACTGGAATCATCCTATCGTCATTCTTTCTCTTAACAGCAACAAGGACTACAAATAGTCCTTGGCTTATGACTGTAATTGAATCTGGAATTATGGCCGTACGTTGTTCCAGTTGTTAAGTGGACCACCGTTATATTGTGCCTGATTTTATTACCATTTTTGTAGTGGTCATTAAGTGAATGTGGTAATTGTTAAACGAATATGGTGGTTGTTAAGCAAATCCGTTTGCGGCCCTTGTTAAGCAAACATGGCAGTTGTTGAATAAACAGAGTGATCATTAAGTGAATGAATTTTATCCATTCAGCGGGGTTTTTTTTTTTTTTTTGCCAGAAACCAGAATTGACAAAACCGCCAAAAATCATGGTCACATGACCACAGTATATTGCAAATGGCTGTAAATAGAACCATTGGCCAAGTGTCCAAAATGTGATCATGTGGTTGTTGTATGGCTATTAGAATATAACAACTGAGTCATTAAGTACCTTTTGGGGAAACAACAGGGGGGGGGGATTTCAAATGGTCACTAAGCAGCCGGTCATTAAGTGAGGACTTCCTGTAGCTTAAGTATCCTGAAGAAGACATATAACCCACAGAGCTTTGCCCTCCAATGAAAGAGAGCTTCAAAGGAAAAACTTGAGATTGTGACACTGAGCTTCTCCAACTGCTCAAAGTAATCAATTCATTTTGCCTAATGCGAGGAATTGAAAAAAAACACTGGAAAAAAGACCCCTGTAAGAAAAAGAAAAGGGGGGAGGGGCATCATGCAAACAAACTTATGTAGCAAGGAAGAAAAGTAGGCAGTTTCTGCATCAATTTGCATGTGGGAGACAATCCAGGAATCAGACGTTTCATTTTCATGTCAGTATCTTACCTGACAATATGTCAATTAAATGCTAGCCGATGCAAAGAAATACTTTTAAAAAGCTGAGCTGACTGTCATTGACATGTTAATAAAAACAGAGGGAGTAATACTAGCGCTACTAGTAATTATTATTTAAATATATATGCTGTTGACCCTTTCCAACTCAGGACAGCTTGCAATCTTCGCTAAAAATACTTCTCAGAGATAATGCTTTCAAGCTATGAATCTTTCTTCTTATCTTTGCCCTACATTTCAAATTGCTAAATATAATACCTCACACTTCTGAGGTAGAACATCTTCTTCCCCTCTGTCCAATCGTAATAACCATTGCTGCACACAAGGCAAAATGATTTAGACAGCGGGATGACAACCTGACGCTTAGCAAATGTTTCCTGCGCCTGTGGGAAAGTCCCTGCCCGAATCTTCGTAATATAATTCATTGAGTTAATCAACAAACCATATAAAAGATTTCATGGGCTTTAATGAGTTTAAGAGGCCACTGGATAAAGTTCACCCCAGCAGAAAGGCACGGAGCTTAAATACACAATGGGAAATAAGAGAACATTCATTGTGAAATCAAGCAATGGGGAGGAAGTAAAATAGTTCTCAAAGGAAAGCAGCAGCACTTAAGAGTTATATACCCCTTCATAGTATTTTTACAGACCCCTCTAAGCAGTTTACAGAGTCAGCCTATTGCCCCCAACAATCTGGGTCCTCATTTTACCAGTAGCCTGTAGTACTGCATTCTAATCGCTGCCATATACCCATATAAAATTGTAGGCAGTAAACTGTTGGTATGTAATACCAAGAGAAAAGTCCCAAGTCAGCAATACAGTAACAGCAATAGTCTTTCAACCTGGAGGTCTATTGATTAATTTTATTCAGGGCAGCAACCTTGGGTCACTTCTTCCCTCCAAATCATTCCTATCCTTTCACAATCTCCTGAAAGAGAAGAAAACTGACAGATGGGAGCAGGCCTAGGTTTATTTGGCAAGATTTTGTTTGTTCTGAGTTCAAGCTTGATTTGTTGAGCAACATTGTGTCATGCATTTCCCCCCAATTTCCTCATCAACAAAGGGCCACATAAAACATTTGCACAACAGCTATTTTTTCTGTTCCTAAAGAAAAAAAAAATCACTTCAAAAATTTGGTAGGTAAAAGTAGCCATTTCTAGCTGACACCAAATAGAATTCATTTCTGAATATTTGCATAAACACCTCTCTTTAAAAAGAAACAATGCTGTCCTTTTCCCAATTTCCTCCTAAATTTATAAATATTTTTCTTGGGCAAAAATATTTATGGAGATTCTTAATCATCCAAGTTGTGATTGACCCAAAGGTGCTTTTAAATACAACTTGATTTTCTTGGGGTTTTTTCCTCTGAAAACATTTTGCTTCTCATCCAAGAAGCTTCTTCAGTTTTGAAGAATTGAAGAATTTTTTTGGATGAAAAGTGAAACATTTCCAAAGGGGAAAAAACACTAAGAAAGTTGAGTTATCTTTTTAAAAACATATTTGGGATATTTTTTATTGGACCAAAATGTTTTATAACACAAAATATCTGGTCTGTGTTGGGTACTATTATCAGTAGCAGTAAGAAAACATTTTAGGATGCAAACTGAGTCTCATTAGATGGAAAATGGTGTTATATCAGTTAAATGTTATACAAAAACTTTCAGAAAAGAAGAAAAATCAAATGTTTATAATGTCCCTATTTCTGGAAATATAATTTCTAGCTCCATAATTCTTCCCACTAAAAATTCTAGAGACTGAGAGGCACCATTATCTGGTTTTTATACTTACCAATAACTTCTTTAAAATGTTATACAGATATACACTGCTTTGGTATACTTCAGAAAACTATTGATTGTATAATTTCTATTGCAGGCAGCAATTATTATCAAATACATTATGAATTTTTCTTCTTCATAACATGTTTTTCATTAGTAGTTATTTCTTTTCTACTTTGCATTTTGTATGTTTATTCTTGTGTAGTTTAAATGTTATAATTTATGCAATAAATAAAATTATGCAATCTGTTCTTTTGAGGCTAGTTTCAAGTCACCACCCCTGGTTTTGTTCCAATCCTTGAAAAAAAGATTCTATTGGAATTCTAGTCACATCAGAATAACAACACCCTTATGATTTAGGTTTTTTTTTTAAGTGGTGAAATGAATAAAATAGGAAATTGCAACAATTAACAATTAGTAAAATTATCTTCCATAGCTGACCAGGAGTCCTAGTCGTCCCTTTCACCCCAAAATAAATTAAAAAAAACTTCCCCAACCCCCTCCTACTTTCCTTTAGAAATTCACAAATTTAGGTCAAGTTCTTGTGTTTCAATTGCTGGATTTAATTCCAAATCTTTTCTCCAAGGCAGGAGGTTTTGCAATCTTCTTAATGGGGGGAGGGAGGGGATCTAAAGTACGCAAAACTTCATTAATTTGAGGCAAGCCAAAAAGGCAGCCTAAATAAAACAAAACAGCTGCAAGGGGGGGGGGGAGTTTAAAAATCCAATTAATGAAAACTGACAAATAGCAAACAATTGTCTGTTCTTTACTCAAAGAATCATAGTTGGCCACTTCCAAAGCAACTATCGATTCCTGCCATAGTCGTTAACTTTTGGAAGTAATCATATAGCTATTTCTCCACCTGTGTTGTGTTGAAATGCAATCTTCTTAGGTTAATAAATTAGACTCCTGCTCTTGTTGTGTTTCTGTTGCTTCCTGCTTCATTCACTGTCCCTCTGCAGAAGTTGACTGGGATAGTTCCTCACCAAGCTGCAGCTGCAGGACCACGTCACTTCTTCTTTGTTTCTTTGCAAGCCACAACGTAGCGCTGAGCTACATTGAGTGGGGGAGAGTAGCCATCTGCATAGCTGGTATCTTCAAAGAGGACCGAGTAGTCATCTTGGGGCTGAGGCCAAGAAAAAGAATGGATTTAGTTATCTCCTACAGCGGGATGGCCATTCACTCATCCTCTCCACTGGATTATTAAGCAGCTTCTTTTTCTTCTCATGCTTTTCCGTTACCTCATCCTTACTAAACAGAAGCTTACTTAGACCACAATTATGAATGGATTGGGGAAATTTTCAGAGGTTCCTGCTTTCATGTATCCAGGGCTACAAAGAACCTGCACTCACACATGGCTTCATAACAGTCATTTGCCAACTGTTGATGGAAAAATATTTCTTTGAACTTTTAATCTACCTCTTTGATCTCTCTCTCTCTCTCTCTTTCTCTCTCTCCCTCTCCCTCCCCTTCCCTCTCCTGTATTTTCCTGAAAATAAGACCGGTCTTATAATTTTTTTTTGCCTCCAAGAGAGGCACCAGGTCTTATTTTGGGGGGACGTCTTCCACTGTCTCACCTCACAGAGGAACCACCGACAGCCCCGCCCAGCAGGAGCCCGGCCACTTTTTGTGTGGCCACTTGCCGCTGCTCTCGCACATCACCGTCAGAGGCCTTCAGGCAAGGCCTTTATAGCCGAGTAACGAGCTGCGGATTGATACATGCAGTGCTCCCTGGCCTCCATTTAGATGTCAAAGGCCTTCAGGGGCGTCAATCCGGAGCTTGTTTTTCGGCTGCAGAGATCATTCCAGAAGGCCTCTGATGTTGAAACAGATGCTGGGGGGCAATGCACGCAAGTGAAAACAGGTGGGCACAGAAGTGGGCTGGCAAGGTGAGCAGGTGTCAGGGTGTGCGAGGCTTGGTTGCAACTGTCTGAAGGTAAGCAGCTCAACACCCCCCCATCCCCACTTGATTTTTATTCATGCATCTCACCCCATTCCATGCAACCAGGTGTAACCCAAGTGGGCAGGGTCTTAACTTAACTAGGGCTTATTTTGGGAGGTAGGGCTTATATTGGGCACACATGTAAAAATCAAGTATGGCTTGTTTTGGGGAAAGGTCTTCTCTTTCGCTCTCTCTCTCTTTCTCTCTCCCTCCCTCCCTCTCAGCACGATCTCCCCGTGGAGATTCGCACCCTCACCACCGTCCAGACCTTCCGCACAGCCCTTAAGATCTGGCTATCCCGTCAGGCCTGGGGATAAGATTCTAATTCCCCCCACCCGAATGCTGAATGAAAGTTGTGTTTTATTGCTTTATTTTTTTTCTTATTCACGTATTGTCTTATGTTTTGTCTTGCACTCCCCCTCCCATGAATTGTAAGCCGCCCTGAGTCCCATTAGGGAAAAGGGCGGCCTATAAATCACAAATAAAATCTAAAATCTAAAATCTAAATCAGCATATACCACAAATTTCTTAATTACCATAAAATATGTATTGCATAACAATGAAGCAACAACTCCAATTATATGCCTCTGCATTCAGATTTAATATATTTTTCCTTCCACACACTAGCAACCTAGCTACTTCGCCATTATGTCTCAACAGATTTAAAATAATTGTTGTCGATCCAGAATGCAACATCTCCCATTGTTGCTCCTTAGCTAATTGTGATTTAGCTTCTTTTTTTCCTTAGAGAGCCTGATTTTCAAATCTATTTCCCTTCTACCTGCACTTCTAATTTAAGACAGAGATGGATATTCCTGCTAAACCAGGAATACAAAAGCCAAGGGGCAAAGCAATGTAATACTGATCAAGTGAAATTCCAGTGCCGAAGAAAACATCAAGGATTTTGGATTTGGCAAAATGAGGTGGTGAGAGAACAAATACATTCAGAGCAATTTTCTGTGAAGAAATTTCAGAGGTAGTTTGGAGGAAAGACAAGGGGTTGCCACAAAGAACAGGGGGTCAAGCTATTCTCCAAAGCACCTGAAGGCAGGACAAGAAGCAATGGATGGAAACTAATCAAGAAGAGAAGCAACCTAGAACTGAGGAGAAATTTCCTGACAGTTAGAACAACTAATCAGTGGAACAACCTGCCTCCAGAAATTGTGAATGCTCCAACACTGGAAGTTTTTAAGAAGAGACTGCACAACTATCTGTGTGAAATGGCATAGTTTCCTGCCAGACCAGGGAGTTGGACTAGAAGACCTCCAAGGTCCCTTCCAATTCTGTTATTCTGTTCTGTTCTGCTCTCCTCTAACCAAGCAAACTAGAGAATGGGATAGAAGTCCTGACTGATGATCTGTAGTTGGCAGGCTGCTTCTTTCATTCTTTCTCTGCTATTAGATTACAATTAAACATTGGTAAATAATGTTGATTGTTTTCTGTTGCGTTTTTAAAACTCCTGCTCCATCCACACCTGGTTCTACCTAAACCGCCAAAGTCCTGACTCCAGGGAAGCTAAATTACCTTGCAGGCTTCCACATTGATGAGATACTAGCAACCTGTGGTTTGATGCTCTATTACAAGATTCCCCAAACTTTCTTGCTTGGTGGACCAGCAGAGGCAGTAGTGGTGGTGGGAGAAGGGATGGTTTTACGCATGTGTGCTGCTTTCATGAATGCTGCTTTCTGCATGGGCACACATGTGCACACACTTGCCCACCCCTTCTGCGGTCTAGTTCTAAATGGGCTGTGGCCTGTCACCAGGTGACGGACCGGGGATTGGAGACCACTGCTCTATTAGTACAACAGAGTTACTCTGTAATTATTACCTAGAGAACAGCTCAGGAGAAAGAGCTACAGGCCAGACCAAGAGATTCCTTAGACCAGCACTCAATTCTGCCTTCTAGTCAGACAGAAGGACAGGTCAGTTATCCCCTCAGGTGGACCTGCATGAGCCATTCTACCTCCAGCTGGAGAATATTACAGTTTGGATCATTTATTGAGGAAAACTCCTATGGTCTCTTCCTTACCCGTTGAGGTGGAGCGTGAATAAGGGCTCGGTAGAAGCAGGTGGTTTGTGGGTACAAGGCCAGGACCAACTGGTCCTTCTGGAACAAGGCCTCGGGGTCTGTTTCAGGATTGGCCTTCCACTGAGGCAGAGGGATGATGCGACGTCGGCTCAGGGTATGACGCCTGTGGAAAAGCAGAAGTCAAGATGAGAGACTTCTCACAAAAGCCCCATAATTCAGGGCCAAAATATGTAGAGGGGAGAGGCTGAGGAACACATGTGAATTTCAGAAAGCAGACTGGGGAACACTCAAGGCCAAAATATGCAACTTTCTCTTCACCCATCAAAGTTCAGGATGACCCCCAACTCTGCTGGACTTTCACAAGGCCACAGAGACCTGGTTATGTGTTAGGGCCTGGTCCCCAAGTATGTTAAGGGCCCCATTTTTTGGTTATATTAATATCCATTGCATAGTTTTACCTAACAACTATATATATTTATTCTTTATTGTTTAATGTTTTTATGATGTAGGCCGCCCAGTTACTAATTGAGATAGGTGCCTATAGAAATTAAATAAATAAAATATACATACCTTTCATTTAATTATAAATATAATTAAGGTTAAATAAAGTGAATATGCATGTACTAATGACATATATTTAATTCTCCCTCTAATCACATTAGAAATTTTGAGAAGTACTTTGGAAATCTTTTTCAAAGTTTCTAGGGCCTGGAGCACACCTCTGCCTTTAATAATCCCTATAATCACTTACTCTTTTCCTTCTTCATCAATGTCATCCACCTCATATCTGAAGAAGAGAAAATGTTGAATGAGAGTTTGAAGAAATCCAAATGGAAGGCACCCAGAGAAAAAGTAATCAATTATCGTGCAACACATCCATGGGATAGTTAAAAGGTCAAAACCCACCTTCCTTTGGTTCATTTAGTTGTTCAGATTAGAATGAGAAGTTAAAGCATGCTAGTAAAACTTTGCAACCTGCCATAAAAAAAATGTGGTTAGTGCACACTAGAAAGATAACCAATAATAACAATTACCCGCACAAAATCTTGTCTATTATTTTTGTAAATTTTAGCATGCGTATCAATGAAGCTCTGCAGCCATTTCTGGTACTGCAATGAAAGGAAAGAGACCTTCCTCGAAGTAGGCATAACCTGCAGAATGGTTTAATACTGACTTCTTTAACATTATAATAATTTAGCAGTGATGGCTAACTTTTTTGTCCTCGCGTGCCGAAAGCACGTGCACGCACACAACAGCGCATGTGCACGTGCCCACACCCATAATACAATATGTGTGTGTGTGTCCTACACCTCCCCCTATGCATGCATGTGCGGCCACCCCTGCACTCCATTTTGGGTCTAGCAAGCCTCCCTGAAGCCTCCTGGGACCAAGAAGGGTGTGGGGGGACGCACCCCCTCTCACTCACTCCCCCCCGTGTATGCCTATGCTATGCTATTACAGGAGTTATGCCAGCCTTATATGCGGGTTTATTCCTCTCTAGCATTCATCTGCATTGTTCAGTGACGCATTTCCTGCCTCTCTAGGATTTACCTCTATCGGCTTCGGTGAGGCACTTCCTGTTCCTGAGGATGTATATTGATGGCTTGTATAGTGTTTTGCAGAGACCTGAAAACCAGTTGGCCAGCGGTGCATGCTTGGTGGAGCTCAACTGGGGCTTGCGTGTCAGCAGAGAGGCCTCCAGTGCCACCTGTGGCACGCGTGCCATTGGTTCACCATCATGGATTTAGCACATAAGAATCGGCAGCTTTCATTAGCATGGGGAGATATGACTGATAGACCAAAACTTATGACTAAGCAGGACTAGCTAGCCACTCCCCTCATTACAAAAAACAAAAAAAAACCTTTGGAACCTAAATCTAGAGCCTGTTAGTAACATTTAAATTAGGAAAATTGGAATCCCTGACTGAAAAGGATCCCAGAAAACCAATGATTTTAAACTGTCAACGAACTTATTTTCTCTTTCCTGCCCTCTGCTAGTCTCATCCTGTCTTAGGATCATTCCATTTCAACTTGAGAAAGTGGAGGCAGTTGAAAGACAAATGGTGGCAGTTGAAGGCTTAAGAAGAAAAGATCTGGGATGATGTAAAAATCTACACACTAGTAAGTCTATGAAGGTCTTTTTAAAAAAAGATGGTTCTGCCATTTCTTCAAAATTAATGCAACACATTTCCGACTTCTCAGACCAGAATCTCTTTTGGACCCTTGCACCAATTCATGTAGTAGTTTAGGCTCAACAGGCATGAAGCACATAGAATTTTTTTTAAAAATGTCACTTTAAATGTAAACTAATCAGCATTCATTAAAATGAAATTTTGTTCCATTCAGCTCTCAAGAGATAACCACTATGCAAATACCCACATTCACATTCACACACATATATGATGCAAAGAAACATCACGATCCAGTTCAGAAATATACATATATATGGCAAAAAAACCCACGAATCTTGCGAGTTTACAAGACAGATGGCATAAGAACAAAGCTGTTACAGAATCTAACCCTGCTATAGATACTTCAAAACCTCCTGCCAGAAGGAAGCCACACAAACAGACTGTGAAGTGGGTGTGTGGGGTCTCTAACAATGCCTTAAGCCCATAGTGCTTATAAGAAGTATCCTGAATAATGGGAAGCGAGCTTCCTATAATCTTCTCAGCTGTCCTTACCACTCTCTGTATGGACTTTCTAGCTGAGGCACTGTGGCCACCAAACCAAACAGTGATGCAGTTTGTTAAAACACTCTCAGTCTCTATAAAAAGTGACAGGGACAGAAGGAGAAAGATGTGCTCTCCTTTCCGATGCGCGAAATGTAGACACTCATTTGCATACTTCACTAAAGACAATGTATGAAGAGACCAAGTCAAATTGTTCAGTCCCCAGATACTGCTGAACCACCTCCACAGCTGTAGCCTTGAAACAAAATGGAGTATGACTATGCCGGCTCTTTCTAAAATCAACAATGATCTCCTGTGTTTTGTTAACATTCAAAACCAGGTTATTTTATTGCACCTGTCCACCAAAGCCTTCACCTCCTCCCTATAAGAATCTGCATTGTCACCCCAGATAAGACCTACAATCCACATATTTCACAATATGATTCATATCAGACTTGGCACAGCAGTCATGAATCATCAAGGTGAAGAGTAATGGACTCAAAAGACTCGACCCTATGGAGAACCTGGACTCAAGGAGATGGAACTGGAAACTTTTCTTTCAACTCGCATAAACTGGGGCCTATCAATAAGGAAATCAAGTATCCATATACACATGTATGCACACATCCACACATACTGTAGTATTGCCAAATTTATTCTCTTTCAGGACAGACTGGTTTGGAATAGACACATAAACACTATACAACAATCTAACGTCAATCTAAACTACCATATTTTTTGGAGTATAAGACATACCTTTTCCCCCCCAAAAAAGAGGGTGAAAATCTGGGTGCTTCTTATACATTGAATACAGCATTTTTGGCCTCCTGAAATCCAGCACTCTACAAGCCTCCCAAAGCTCTGCATAACCCCTTCCCTTTTTTTGTTGCAAAAAACGAAACTTACAAAGGGTTTGGGAGACCTGCAGAGTGCACATTTTTTTTAAAAAAAAATTACCTCTTCAAAATCATGGTGCATCTTACACTCTGGTGCATCTTATAGTCCGAAAAAATACGGTATATGTGCAAGCCCATTCAGCAATGTTTTTGGAAGTAGTTTGCCACTGCCTTTTTCTGAGCAGAGACGATGATGGTCTAAGGTGGATTCTGTGCTCAAGGCAGGTGTGAAACTCCTAGTCCAGCACCTTAATTATTAGACCAAGCTGGCCCTCACCTACCATATGTACATACTTCAGAATGACTGTTTCCAAGACAAACAACCAATGTTCTTAATTAGCAAAACACTATCTATTAACATAAAACTGCTATCTATTAAAGTAAAAAACAATGTGAAGACTCTCAATGCCACTACCATAGTCCCACGTATACTCACTTGTTGGTGGCATGATTGTAGCTCACAGCCTCAGCCAAGATCCACTGCTCATCCCCATCAACAGCTTTGACACGAGCTGCCACTTTATCGCCTGGTTTGGCCACATAATCACTAGAGGCAGGGATGGCACCACAAAGGGGAGGCGGCCTGCATAAGAAACCAGACAAAAGGGTCTAATCCATGGCTAAAGGGTGACTTCAGGTGCTCAGAACCCACCACACCTTCCCAGAAATTACTTTTCTCCAGGCTTCCCAATCCACAATGGGAGAGTCATGGCGCTCTGCTGGAGAAGAGTCATCAGCACTCCACGGCGCATGGTTTTGCGTGGCGGCTCAGAGTCATTGTAGATGCCAGCAATCTTGGCAGCTGTGTGAAGAGAGGTTGAAGCAGACCCGAAAAGGTTTGGTTATTTGTAAGAATCTATAAGGACAGAAGTGTCTCAGCCAATAGAAGAAAATACAAATGAATGAATGAATGAATGAATGAATGAATGAATGAATGAATGAATGATCACTCACTCACTCACTCACTCAATCAATCAATCAATCAACCAACCAACAATCCAAGTCAAAGCCAGATGTTTTAATTTTGGAAAACAATGCTTTCAATATTCTAAGGGAGTAAACTTTGCAGGTGGTCTCCCAGCTTTTAAATAAACCTGTCAATCATTTTCACTTCCATATCAAGAACACAGTAACTTTATGCCCTAAAACAATATGGGAGAAGGGAGCCCTGCATAGGCAAACGTGAGGTCTTGAATGTAAAAAGAGATATAATCTAAATAAAAAGAAGAGCTGATGTTGCAAAGACTTTTCACTGCCTCATCACAAGGAATTGTGAATGAATCAATACATCAAATTTCTCACTTTGTTTACATATTGCACACCAGGCAGATATCAGCTTAGGGCAGTGAATTTCTTGTAAATTTACAAGAATGAAGGCGAGAGTTTGTAAGTGAAAGTGGAAATTCTCTCCTAGAATTTGGAACTTACCCTTGATAGGAAAAGAGCTTGGTCCTATCAAGGGTAAGTTCCAAATTCTAGGAGAGNCTCTCCTAGAATTTGGAACTTACCCTTGATAGGAAAAGAGCTTGGTCCTATCAAGGGTAAGTTCCAAATTCTAGGAGAGAATTTCCACTTTCACTTACAAACTCTCGCCTTCATTCATCGTCATGTGATGCACAGCCCAAAACTTCCTGCCCAATTTAAACTAGAATTTAAGGGAACCGTAGGGTTCTCTTGGCCAGCTCAGCAGATACTTAACTGATACGAAGGCATCCCAGTGCAATTATTCATATTAGGAAAATGGATAAAATGACCGATGCACCAGACATTCAAGAATAATACACTAAGCATGTAAACCCTAACTTAGTCAGGATCTGTTTGGGTTTACATGCTGTGCTGCAAATATGGCACAATAGTTTGGTTTGACATGTATCAGCTTGTTCCTCAAATATACTTAAAGACAACATAGGCTTAGAGTGATTTTTTTAAATCCAGCAACAGAAGCCAATTAGCCTCATCAAAGTAACGCTTCATCTTTTCTCAATTTTTCTATCCATTTCTTGGAAGCAGCAAAGAATTCTTATTCAATTTCTTTCTGGCACAACCAGATTAGGATTAGTAGAACTGGACTGCAACAATATAGATAACCACTAAGTGGCAGCAAGGCATTAAAGCATTATACTGTATATTTATTCGCTACCATCTAGTGGTTGACTAAATGTTTGCAATCCAGATCTGAAAGCTTTAGACTTGAGTACAGGTTGTTCTCGACTTATGGCCATTTGTTCAGCGACTAAAATTTCGATGGTGCTTAAAAATTGGTGGTTATGACTGCTTCTCAAAGTTCCATCCATCCCAGCATCCGTGCAATCATATGATTTCAATCTGGAACTTAGCAACCAGCTCATACTTAAAATTGATTGTTGTGCTCTGCAAGCCATGATTGCAATTTGTTACCTTCCCTGAATGGCTTCCCCATCAATGGGGAAGTTGGAAAGGAAGGTTGCAAATCCCTGGGATATGCCTCTGCCACCCACACTGTTTCCCCTAGCCCATCTGCTCTTGTTCCACAGAGACCACTCCACACACTGGCATCCTTGCACATCCCCCTAAACTTCACCTCCTCATGCCCTCTCCTTCTTATCTACCTGCCTGCTTGCAAGCCGCTTGTGACTTGCAACTTCCAAGTTGCTTCCCCACTGATTTTAGTTGAGGGGCACGTCTGGAGGTTGCAAGGATGATGATGATGATGATTATTAGGTTATAGCATTGTTATAGTAGCCAGGAGACCACAATGGTATTGCAGAATACTAGTTTGGCTTGCCAAGGTACCAGCCCACTTATAGGAAATGCTTGGGCACGTCCCAAGTTCCGCCACAGGAGGGCAACCTGGCTTCACTGGAAAAATGAATGGCTTTTCCTGCAGCTTCACCCAAGGGCCCCTTCTCTTCCCAGAGCTGCCTCATAAGCAGGCGCTGCAACCGGGAAAGTTCAGAGCCATAGGAACTGACTGCCTGCACAGAGAACCAGTTTGTCTCCCCTCCGAAGTGGTACCTATCTATCTACTTGCATAGACTATGCTTTCAAACTATTAAGAGGACAGAAGCTGAGGCGAGTGACAGGAACTCAGCCTGCCACCCAATGCTAGGGCTCAAACTGCAGAACTGAGAACCATCTCCACCGTCATTAAGCCACTGAGCCACCATGACTCCTTGTTGTGAGGATGTTCTAGCCTAACAACTGCTGCAATTCAGTTAACGGACATTGGAACTGTAGGGATTGTTGTCACTAAGCAATGCAGTCACGATTTATGACTGCACCGCTTAGCAACAGAAATTTTTATCCCAGTTGCCATTTGTACTTGAGGACTATCGTTATTAATGGAAGACAAGTCCACATAAAAAATGCACATGCATCCTTTTTTTAGGCTGCTTGAATAATTAAAACTTTTAAAATCTTGGGATACTACCCAACATTTTTGCAACAGCTCAAGAATCCCACTTGCTCCGCCTTATTCAGAGCTTTTCATCACTCACCAATTCGCCGTTCTTCCAGAAGAGACTTTATCTCAGCAATCTTGTCCAAGTCCTTGCGCAGGATGCTGGGTAAAGAGGGCAAAGAAGCAACATGAAAATGATTCGCCTTCTCTCCTCAGAAGCATTTAAGTTAGATATATACTCACTTGCATTCAGCTTCTGCATCAGCCTTAGCTGTTGTATAGAGGCCACGTAATTTCGTCCGATAATACGGAGAGACTAGACAGAAGAAATACAGGCAGGTAATCTTGAGTTCCTATAGAAATCTAATTATCTATTGTTCTAAGCCATGTCCCAAAGGTGCTTTTTCAGGAAGCAATTTAACTTTCTTGTTTTTCTTTGAAGACGTTTCGCTTCTCATCCAAGAAGCTTCTTCGGCTCTTGAATGGATGGTGGGGAATAGAAGGATTTATATTCCTTGCAGACAGCTGGTCATTTGCATTCTTTTAGAGAGTCACTGAAAATAAATCCTTCCGTTCCCATCATCCATGACCTGGATGACTGAGATTCTCCATAGATGTCCTAACCAAAGATTTGTTTCATAAAGTTTGTCTGAATATATTAAAACTGAATTAACACAACACTGTGAGACATAATCTAAAGTTTAGAAGTGACAAGTCAGGCTCACCTGACACATTAAGCTAAATTAAATATACAACATATTTTAATATACCACGCAAAAATTGTGACATATTAGTCAATATTAGTCAAAATTTTGACTAAGAATGTCTTGTATAGAAGAAATGAGAAATATCAAAGGCCTAAATACAACAGACAATAAAATCACTTGTTCTGATTTGTGGCAGTAGCCCAACCAGTTTAATTTTCTACAATGCTCAGCAAGTCATGGGAAGCCCATTCATTAGCTAGATGAAATTCTCTATATTATATGTAATTCTGTATATATTCAATTTGTTGTCCGTTTTTCCTAGATTTAAAATGTATTTCAATGACATAATCATTCATTATTCATTACTGAAAGAATATTATTGTTTCAATCTGCAAAATTAACCATATTATTTCATTCTCAAAATACACTTTGCAAGTTGGTCTCTTGTGAGGTAGAAATTCCGGATGAATGAGCAGCCCTAAGGACTATCTTCTGAAAATTAATTTAATACACACAAGCGATTGGCCAGAACATTTTCAAATTCAAGCTTTTCTAGAAAACAGTCACGCATTTTCCTCTAAGAGGAAAACTTTAGTTCCAAACCTATTCCAACTCCAGAGCATTCTTTCTGCAGCCACTAAATTGTTTAATTTATCTGCCTTTTGATGCAGCAAACAATGACTTTCCCTGCCTACAAGAACCTCCATGACCATTGCCGTTATTGGCAATTGTTAAAGAGTAATGGTAGTTGAATAAATTGGCTCAACTGACTCTCTCTAGCACCAGACTCAAAATGTTGCTTCACAAAGGATTTCTAGGGAAGATGTTACAAGGCTGGCATTTTCCACTTACTCTTGTTCTCTGTCTGCATCCGTTCATGTGTTTTCTGGATATTCACAAGATTGTGTTCACTTCTTGATCGTTCCTCCTAGCAACAAAAAGTGTTTCTGGTTAATTTTTTTGGACAATATGATTTTTATTTTAGCACACAGGGTTTATTCTCAAAGTTAAGCCACCACACCAGTTTCATGCCTTCCTCTCATCATTGTTACATTGGTGCATTACGAAAACAAGATGTGGGCCCAATTGAAAAAATACCCTCGCTTTCTAAAATTGCAAAAGGCAAACCTTCTCCTTTCCTCATCATTGGCTATGACAAGCTAAGTAAATTTCATGTTACATACAGGCCTAAATATTCCAGGGGTGGGGAAAATCACATTACCTGGGTCTGTTTGATAAGCTGGTGCAATTCTCCTAGGAGTTCAGCAATTCTTGAATCAGCTGATACCAAAGCCATGTTGCTGAAAGAAATGTAAAGTGGGAGAAAGGAATTTCTCTCAAATCAATTGCATTATAACATTTGCATTGTTTATCTTAAAACATTAATAAAAACATTAATAAATACAGTATTTTTAGTCTTAAAGGTGCTTTTTCAAAAGGCAATTGGAAAAAACAGCCCAGTTGCCTTTTGAAAAGGCAATTTTGAGACAACTATGACCTGGATAATTGAGAATCTCCACAGACATACTTTTAGCATATCCTACATTGGGTGCAAATAAGTGTTCATAATGAAGTGAAAGTGTTTTCCTGTTTCATGGGAAGAACTAACTTTAATCTGCAAAATAGCTAAGATTTTGCTTATAAAACAACTCTGTGTTTATTAAAGTCCATCTAATGAGTTTGACTTTAGAAACATGAAATATAAACAAGTAAATAAAGTATGTCTAGAAACTTTGGGAAAGTTTCCATATATTTTTATTTGGTAAAGTAGCCTTGGGACCAGGTTCATTTTGTATTCCTGTGCTTATATCTGCAGAATAAACTGAATTAAATGTACTTATTTTCTGAATTTAACAGATATGAGGTGCATATTTTAATTTAAAAATAAAATTTGCTAGTTTAAATTGACCATTTTAATTTCTGTATGTTTTTAGCTGCCTTTTTATTCAACTTCAGCCTGACAGCTGTTGTCTCCTTGGCATGAACAAAGTTGAACTTTAACATCCTTAACCAAGCATCTCACCATGGCTGGCCTAAGAGCTCTGGAAGCAGATTTACACTTCAACATATAGAAAAGGCCATCCCTCTGGAAAGTAATAAATACACATATGATTTCCAACTATCATTTGCAAATCCAGTATGCACGTTTACAGGGTAAGGTGCATTAGGACAACTGCAATGTAGGCACTTGCTGTCAAAAATATGTCACTTTGTACGCTTTCACAGAACATTGAACAATACCACTTTCCATTTCTTTCATCCGAAGAAAACAGGAGAATCTGTGATCTCCTTCAAGATACAGTACAGATTCTCATGATGTGTTGGTTGAAAGAAGGGGCATCACTATATACAGATTGTCATGTTATGACCACCACAATTGAGACCAAAATTTATGTTGCTAAGTGAAACATTTGTCAAGTGAGTTTGCCCCATTTTACGATTTGTTTTTTGCCACAGTTGTTAAGCAAATCATTGCATATGTTAAGTTAGTCACAGGGTTGTTAAGTGAATCTGGATTCCCCATTGACTTTGTTTGTCAGAAGGTTGCAAAACCAGATCCCATTATCCCAGGACGCTGCAACGGTCATAAATATGAGCCAGTTGCCAAGCATCTGAATTCTGATCACGAAACCATGGGGATCCTGCAATGGTGTGAAAAATAGTCACATAAATCCCTTTTTTTCACTGGCGTTGGTCATTTTGAACGGTCACTAAATGATCTGTTGCAAGTTGAGGTCTACCTGTATTGCAATGATCGACCACACGCGCAGCAGCACAGAATAGATCCTCAACACGCAAAGGATACCAGTAGGGGGCGACACAGCACTATTATAATCAGTGCAATTATAAACTTCTTCACCCCTTTATTCCCGTTAAGTTCCCACTACCGCGACAAACACTTGACCCCCTACCGTTTAAAGTCCGCGGAGAATAACGCTCGACGCAGGTTCGCTAAACGATTGATAGAAAGATTAAAAAAATATATAATAAAGACGGCACGCGCGCCTAAAAATGACGCAAAAACCTCGCCCAGTGAACTTCCTACAGCTAAGGGACTAGCGCGTGCGCACTGAACGGTGGGAAGTTAACGCACGCGCAATCCGCGGAATCAATTTCCCCGTTCATGGGCTCTATTTTTGCGCATGCGTCTATAGACTTCGCCACAACCAACCCCCCCCCAACAAAAAAAAACCGTTTTAACTGTGTTGTTCTTTCCAATCTTTTTTTTTTAAAAAAAATAACAGAAGGTGGAAACATGGTTATAAGGAACAAGATATATCCAAGTGGACCTCTACAGAGGGACAATATTAAAAATACACCCCAAAGCAGGAGTTTGACCGTGGAATAATTTATTATTTCCAAAAAGTTAACGACCACTGCAAAAAGCCTCGTGGGAACTGTAGTTTTTGTTGATCGACGCATGCTCTTTGGTTCACTTTCAACGCGGATTTGTTGCTGAGCGCGTGGTGGCATAACTTTTCAAACCTTGAAGTTTTTGAGGCGTGATCGTGGTTTATACAATGCTTATATTCTATAAAAAGTTGTTATTCCGTGTGCAAATCGGGAGGAGAAAGTAGAAAGGGAAATAATATATCTTTTTATATAGGGTTTATTTGGAGATGTCATACTCATTTAAGTTTCCTTCCAAGTAAGCGTTACAGAAACCTAGCATGGAATTGATATGAAAACAGAATTACAGTCACCAGCCATTCTCAAAGTCAAAACATGCTTTCTGAGCTGGAAATTAATTGCAAAAAGAGGAATTCCTGCTGAGAACATGCTTCGTTTTTGTAGCAAGCATATTGCAGTGGATTAATGCAATCACACAACAAATACCAAAAGAGATTAAGACACATAACCGGTCAAACCACAATGTGGAACACTTAAATTGTTGGCATATGCCTTTTAGGTTTATAATTCATGCTTTGGATAAAATGAACTGTGGTCCATAAGAGTTTATGCCAAATAAAGCTGCAGCTATCTTATTTATTTTTGTAGCCCTTCATTATTTTTACAAATGACTCAAGGTGGCAAACATGTTCCTCCTATTTTCCCCACTCAATCCTGTGAGTGGATTAGGCTGAGAGAGATTGGATCAAAAATCATGTTTACCATTTGTTGAAGATTTAATTGAACAGCTGGAAAAGTGTTTATCGTTTTTTTTAAAAAGGCAAGCAGATGCAGAAGCGCTTCTCAAATTACAGTGACAATTTTATTAGCTGCACTTTTTGTCCACTCTTATTACATGGCAGGCAATTTCTCTCATTGGCCACTGATGCTTCCCTCCCCACATTCAGTTTGCATCATGTTGACTTCAGACATTACTCCGTTCAATATGTTCAGGAACAAACTGTACCAGCCCAGTATTATTAACTTTACATAATTTACTGTGCTTCAGCATTGGCTGAACTGAACCTGCTAATCAGAATCACAAGACGGCAGAGTTCACATCAGAAGTATTGTAGTTTGGTACTACTTTTATAAATAGTCCCTCAGTTTACAACCATTTCTAGTGGCCATTTGATGTAGCAATGGCACAACTGGTCCTCACACTTACAACTGTCAAGTATCCCCCCCACAGTCACATGATCAAAATTCAAGCACTTGGCAACTACCGCTAACATGTATTTACAAGGGTTGCAGCATCTCAATGTCATGTGATCACCATTTGCAACTTTCCCAGCCAGTTTCTGACAAGTCAAAAGAGAAAGGTTAACAATGGTAGTGATTCAGGGTGAAATTCAGCAGGTTCTGGAAAACCAGTAATGGAAATTTTGAGTAGTTTGGAGAACCAGCAAATACCACCTCTGGCTGGCCCCAGAGTGGGGTGGGAATGGAGATTTTGCAATATCCTTTCCCAGCCCCGCCCATAGAACTGGCAGTAAAAAAAAATGAATTTCACTATTGCAGTGATTCACTTATTAACCATAGCATTTGCCAAGGGGGCCACAGAAAAGAAAAATGTATTACATTTTACAAATGTATTACACTGCAAATAATGTCATGTTCACATCAGAAAACATACCAGTTGCTGTTCTATGTCTTTATCTAGTAATGAGACTTGGGATGAAGGGAAAGAGGTTGGAGAAACACTGCTCTAAATGATTAACAATGCTATCAGGTCTGTGTTTATAAAGGGTGCTCCAGTGGTGGGATACGACCGGTACACCCTGGTATGGGAGCACCAGGTACCGTTCCAGTATGGTGCTCCAGAGGGCCTACCCACCCTCCTTACCTGTATTTGAGCCGATCAGGGCTTCTGCGCAATTGCCCGGAGCGTACGGCGCCTGCGCGATGCTCTGCCGAGCAGCTGGAGCATCGCAGAGCGTCACGGGCGGTAAGTATGTATGTGCATGCTGCGCACATGCACGTATGGATGCCCAGCCCCATTGCACTGTACCGGTTGCAATGGGATCCGGAACCCACCACTAGGGTGCTTCCCTTAAGTATTATTGGTTGGCGTAATTTTGTGTTAATTTACAAATTATATACAGGTAGTCCTTGACTTAACAACTGTTCATTTAGTGACGCTACTGAAAAAAGTGACTTATGACCATTTTTCATATGACCATTGCAGCATCCCCATGATCAAGTGAGTTACATTTGGATGCTTGAAACCTGACTCATATCAGTGTCTTGAGATCATGTGATCCCCTTCTGCAACGTCCTGACAAGCAAATCAATGGGTAAGCCAGATTATAGCAATAGCAATAGCAGTAGACTTATATACCGCTTCATAGGGCTTTCAGCCCTCTCTAAGCAGTTTACAG